ATAAATATCTCGAAAAGATCCAAACCTGTGACTAAATACGTAACATTACACGTAGTTCACGAAAAATTATTCTGATATCAGCAGTATCTGACTTTTTATAAAAAGTAATATATGCACGCCATTTTTTACTACACGGGCATCTATCAGTTATAGAAGAGCGTGTGACCAATATAGTTTGTGAGTGTTGTCTTTTGATGCATGACTAAAGCGAACTACTAACGTGATTTGTTCTTTACGTATTGTTAGCAGTATTGAACTTGAACTTGAACTTGAACTTGAACTGGAATTGGAGCTGGAACTGGATTAATGCTGAATTCTGAATTATTAAATATGAAATGCACAATAGTTAATTGTTGCTAGAGATCGAGAAATCTCATAGATATCGGTGAATAGTAGCGTAGTTAGTGATTGAAGAGTAATTGAGAAGCATCGCATGTAACTTCAAAGTTCGTTGCAGTGCATAGGGATTTTGTTTACATTTGATGACTTATTTTCTATTGTATATGTATGTATATTTCATCCAGATTAGTTAAATACTGGAGAATGAAATGGTAGAAATTACAATGCAACTTGGAAAAAAGTTAAATTCAGACTATTTGTGTGATGATTTTGAGCAGTATCGATTGAGGTATTAATTACCTTCTTGAATTCCATTATTGAATGACGTAGCATACAAAGTACTGAGAGAAAGGAAAAATTTCTTTTATGGTCTATGGTAATGTGTGTGATCAGTTTTGTCCAAACAAGAGTTAAATATTAATCGAATTTAGTAACTGAATGAGTTTCAGGAAATTTCAAGATTGCTGATCTAAAAATATTTTTACAGATTGTAAATAAGGGAAGATGAGTGGAAATGATGACAAAATTGATTACTATGAGATTCTTGGGGTTGATAAGAATGCTACTGAGCAGCAGATCAAAAATAACTACAAGAAACTGGCACTTAAATTCCATCCTGATCGAAATCCTGGTGACCACAATGGTATAATTTTTTGATGATTTCCATTTCTATTTGAAAATCATCGTTCTCTAGCTGTTTCTTACCCGACACATTTGATTATATTTTAGACAGAGTTTTGAAGTTTAGATGAATGTTTTGTTTTGTTGAATCAAGAATTATTTTCTAACGTTTCAACAATTATGAGTATTTCTTTCAGCAGCTGAGCAGTTTAAAAAAATGTCCATCGCATACGCAGTATTATCAGATCCAAACAAGAGACGTCAATATGATTTAAGTGGTCCTTCTGGTGCTCTTGTCGATTTTGAGGGATTAGATATCAGTGAAATGGGAGGACTTGGTATGATTCGTTCTTAATACGAATCTTGTCATTTTTCTTATCTTACTGTAAATTTCAGAGACATTAATATAGGCTGCACCGTTTTTTCTTTTGAATTATTTTGTTCATCGTGTACAGTGTATGATAAGAATTCAAATTAAAGGTTGAATTTGAATCTTGTTATTC